AAAAAAAAGTAAAATTAGGATAAAAGATGGGTAAGATAGGAATAATTATAATTGTTTAACAAATATTATTTTATGAATATTTAGATGAAGCAATAATTGTTTTCAAAAAGCAAAATTAATAGCTTCAATATTAATTTTAGTGCTGAATAATCAACGTCAACAGCTCATTAAATGCCGAGAAGAAATGGATTTTGCAAAGCATGAATATGCAAATAATCCAACGGAGCAAAAAAAAGAAAGTTGTAATAAAGCAATTGCAAAATTTAACGAACAATCAGAAGAGGTTAGAAAGAGGAAAAAAGCTTAAATATTTTACCATTTAAATCAGATTAAATAAATAAATATATGTATTTTATCACTTAAATTAGATTTTAACTAAAATAAAGTAACAATTACTATAATTATTATGTCTAGCACTACACAATTTCTATTGATAGATGAAATGAGTGCTTGGCAAATGTGCATCAAAATTCAAATTAGTAATTTTAGTATCAATTGGAAACGATTTTATGCAAATTCAAAATATTGCAGGTTTTTAAAGCCTTAGGCACAATTCAATCAAAAAAAGAAAAGCATCGTTTGGAGCTTATCAAAATATTGGATGAAATGCGAAAATATCATAGAAGTGCTGCTGAAGAATGTTTGCTTGTATGTAAATCAAAGTGGTAGAAATGACAATTTGCTCGAAGAAGTTCAAAAAAAAAATCAGTTACAAAATCAAAACGCATGCTAATACTATTTATCATTTAATATGAATGAAATTTTTGAATATTTTCATTTCATATTAAATAATATTAAAAGTGAAGTAATCGTTAAAATTTGAAAATAAAGCAATTGTCAAACCTTAGAGAACAGTCAATTTTAAATGAACATAAGCAACAAACAAGGTAATGGATTATTCTTGTGATAAACGCGTGTAAAAACATTTACATACCTATGATAGATCGGAAGAAATGTTCAATTAGTTGAATTTTTTTGAAAATCGAATTTTCGAATAATTGGGATTTTTAGTTAATTAAAGGGTAACCATTGGTAGGTATGATTACTACTGGTTAGGTGAAAGTTTCAACTGTAATGGATGACGGTTTTTTTTTCCTTCTATTCATTTATTAATTTAGTGAAAGTGAGTGAAAATGACTTTCAATTTTTTTTCTTCATTTTAAATTAATAGATAAAAATCACTGAGTTTTTTTATTCTTTTCTGTTAATTTACAGAATGGATTCCCGGATAAATTTATTAATACTTTATATCATTTTATTCATTATTCAATATTAATGTTATGAACTTCTCTGAATAAAACCCCACAATGTCACAGTTGATTGATAAGGTGATATAATTAAGCAGAAATCACTTATTTTTTCACAATGAACGGATGATGACTTAATTTTGTCCGCGAAAATGGATTAAAATATTAACAAAATTAAATTGTCATTGATGAAATTCAGTATGGCAGTTTGTATTGTTTGTTTTAGGATACAAAACGAAAAAATTTTACTTAAATAGACTATTTTTGCATCAAATTTTGTCTTTCCCATTGATATTTCAAACATATACTTACTTT